AACATGACCGAGACACCGTCACAACATGACTGGGACACAATCAAAACATGATCGGGACACATGATCGGGACACCATCAAAACATGACCGGGACACCGTCACAACACGACCGGGACACCATCAAAACATGACCGGGACACCATCACAACATGACCGGGACACCATCACATGACCGGGACACCATCAAAACATGACCGGGACACCATCACAACATGACCGGGACACCATCAAAACATGACCGGGACACCATCACAACATGACCGGGACACCATCAAAACATGACCGGGACACTATCACAACATGACCGGGACACCGTCACATGACCCAGACACCATCAAAACAAAACCGGCACACCGCCAAAACATGACCAGGACACCATCACAACAGGACCGGGACACCATCAAAACATGACCTGGACACCGTCACAACACGACCGGGACACCATCAAAACATGACCGGGACACCATCACAACATGACCGGGACACCATCACATGCCTGGGACACAATCACAACATGACCGGGACAGCATCAAAACATGACCGGGACACCATCAAAACAGGACCGGGACACCATCACAACATGACCGCGCCACCATCACATGATCGGGACACCATCAAAACATGACCGTCACAACACGACCGGGACACCATCAAAACATGACCGGGACATCATCACAACATGACTGGGACACAATCACATGACCGGGACACCATCAAAACATGATCGGGACACCATCAAAACATGATCGGGACACCAGTCACATGACCGGGACACCATCAAAACATGATCGGGACACCATCAAAACATGACCGGGACACCAGTCACATGACCCGGACGCCATCAAAACATGACCGGGACACCATCCGCCCACCAGCTCTGACGGTGACCCGACGGCGCCCGTCCGAAAAACAACTGTCACATTGCGCACTACACACGTAGCATTCATGAGTTCATTCCTTTCCTTTCATGTTCCTTTTCATGTTCACTTTCACATTCATGTTCATGTCCATCCATCCATCCATCCATCCATGCGTGCATGCATCCATACATCCATGCATTCATTCGTTCAATCCTTCCTTCCTTCCTTCATTCATTCATTAATTCATTCATTAAAACATTCATTCATACACGCATACATACCTACCATTACATTACATTGCATTACATTATATACATCCCATTCTATGACATTACATTGCATTGCTTTACATTGCATTACATTACACTATCAATTCATACATGCATGCATACGTTACATTACATTGCATTACACTAGATTTATTACATAAGTGCCGCAGTTTTTTGGCAGGCGATCCCTTGTTTTTGCCTTTCCTTTTTGCCTGTTGCCCCCTGTTGATCGATCAATGCCTTCCTTTTTTTCGAGCTTGATGGCCATCCGTTTTTGAAGGACGTTAATCGGCCACTCGGCACGGGCATTGGGATTGTACGACAATCCCATGAGCTATCTCCAGCTTTGTTTTTTGATTGCATTGTTTAGCGAAAGCTACCGGAACATTGCCCAAGATGCATTGGCCAGCTTTTAGGCAGACCAGTTCTAGAAGAGCCTGCACTCAAACGTGGAGAAACGGAAACACCTGGTACAAAGGCCGGATCCACACCCGTATCTCTACCGCCGGCCTCCCCTGCAGATTGCGCTCTTGATCCATTGCTGGACCACCCACCCTGAGAGACAAATCCCCAGCCAAATTCGACATGGCTCAAAAGCGGTCCAATTCATGCTTGCACTGAGAAACCAGTTTTGGTGCTCCCTTGTGTCCTCACAATTGTGTCAAAGATGTCCATTGCAACTCACACACACTTCGAGCGATGCATGCTGCTATGTCTGGGAGACTTATGTCTGGGAGACTTCAATGCCATCCTTTTGAGATCATCCTGTCGGACTTCCGTTCCACTGCAGGATGCCGAGTTCGAGGTCCTGACACAATTTGATGCAAGCTTTGCAATGCACTTGAACCTCTTCAGATGGCGGAGGATAGCACCGAGGGCACAGCGCTAATGCTATCACACAGATTCCAGGACTCCTAAGGAAAGCCTTAATGGTGATCTTCGAGGACGGCATTGGCCCTATCTCCAATGGAGTGCGGAGAAGAAAAGGCTGGTTGTGGACTCCTCTCGCCAAGCCCTCTCGATGAAGGCCATGACAGAACTGCTGGAAGAGCAGGTCGACCAATCCTTTAATCCGGTTGTGACATTTGGAGACATCCTCATGATGCCCACCCTTGCCTTGAATTCCTCTGAGATCTGATCTCACACCAAAGTTGTTCATTCTAGAACTTGTATGTTCACCATGGTGCGAGCAGGGCAGGGCACTTCAACACCAGAGGGGCACAGGATGATGCCTTCTTGATCTGGCTGTTGAGACAGACTTGAGTGATCAGGCCTGTCTGATCTTTTGCATTTGATGATTCCAAGCTGAGCCAAAGACTTCAGGACAAACCTGAGGCAGCGCTACAGTCATCCTCGACTGGCGTCCGGAAATGTCGAAAAATGTCATTACATTACATTGCATGTTTACAGTTTGCATTAAATTACATTACAACATTGATACACTACAATTACAATATGTTACAAAACATTAAGTTCATTGCATTACATATCATTACAACACGTCGCAATACATTACATTGCATTTCACACATGCATACCATACCATACCATACCGTAACACATAATGAAAACGAGGTTTCGACGTTACGGAACGCCTTTTTCCCTTGAGCCAAAATACGTCAAGAGTCACGTGTCTGCAGTACCCTAGCGGAGTATATATGGGCTGTACATACAAACACTCCTCCTCTTGCAAAGCACTGTACTGCTGCGCAAGCTTAAAGTAAACATGTGAAACTCTTCGCTGCTTAGCCACTTTCAGTTGTGGTAGTGGAGCTTGGCCAGGGACCTTACTCCAAAACATCTAACTGTCCTTTGCTTCGCTTGCTGAGGAATGCATATTGCGGGTCCTCCATAGTTTTGCGAAGCTGCACCCCAGGAACCGACTTGGTCAAAACATCGGCTTTGTTCTTGACTCCTGGAACGTGGTGCACCTTCAAGTGGCCTTCGGCAACCCTTTCTTGCAACCATAGGTAGCGAGTCTGGATGTGTCTGGCTTTACCCAAACCCACTCTATTCACAGTTCCTTTGGCTGCATTGGAATCGCCTTCGATGGTGACTCCTAATTCCAAACCAAGGTCTGCGCATAGGCTTTGGAGGCCTAAGCCCACAGATCCTCCCTTCACAAGTGCATAGTACTCACTTTCACCTGTAGAAAGGGCTACAGTGGATTGGATGTTACTACTGTGTTTCAACACATGCATGCCATACATAGCAACCATGCCAGTCGTGCTTTTGCGTGTCACAGCGTCACCACCATGGTCGGCATCGACCTGCGCCCTCAGCCTTGAGGGCGTCTGCTGCGAGCCGAAACATTGCCCAACATCAGGGTATTTCTTCAAGTACCTGATGAGACGCTTCAAGTCAGCAAGTTTGGCTTCTGTTGGTGATACCATACCTCGAGCAAGGTTCTTGACTGCGTGTCCAATATCGAGTCGATCTTGGGACAAGTACGCAGCACGCATCGTTGCTGAACGATACTTCGATGCCTCGCTCTTATCAAGCAGCGGACTGCGGCTTTCCAGCATCTGCTGATCTGCCGACTTCTTGACATCTGGTGATTCTACACCATTTGCCTTCTCCAGACCAAATGCCTGGATCAAAAGATCAACATGTCTCCGATCGGCTTCGATCACAATCGATCCTTTGCCGTTCTTCTTATCAACTCGGATTAACCGATTCAGAAAATGAGCTTCTGTTCGGTCTCCATCTTCGTCTCCAAGAATTCCGAGACATTTCAGCTCATAGGCATCTTTGAGGACTTGGCTGAGCTTCTCCAAGTGTTGGGCGTCTCCAAGCGCTAGGAAGTCATCTCCATGCACCATCACTCTGACGTCCCAAGCTTCTTGGTAGAAGACTGACGCATTTGACAAGCCTCTGCGGAAACCAGCTTTCTGCAGAGTCTCTGTGTAGTGCGTCTGCCAGATATTTGGAGCATCCTGTGTCCCATACATCGACTTCACGAGAAGTCCACAGGTTTGTCCATCTTTGCTGGCTTCGTCCTCAGGCGGCAGCTCTATGTAGATCTTTCTCTTTGGAGTTCCATAAAAGTGTGCTCGTGAGATGTCCCAC